GGAGCGCGAAGCCTCCGGTATTTACCCGGCCGCTGCAGCTCAGAGCCCTGAAGGAACACGCTGGCAGGATGCAGGGCTTTGGGAGAGTCCAGCTGCTGAGCAGAAGCAGCTGCTGAGCAGAGATTACGGGGTGAAACCAGTTTAATTTGAGGGCCAGGATGTTTTCTCCGGGTTGTTTTTGTCCTGCTTGGTGAGCTCGGAGCAGTGCCTGGGCAGGATCCCTCCCATCCCCACCGGACCGAAGCCGGCCAAGGCTGCGGATCTCCCCGGCTCCCTCCGCCTTCACCCAGCCGGCCCCGGCTGCACCGAGCTAATTTGGGACAGGGTTTCGTTCCTTTTCGGAGCCATGAATGTGAATGAGGCGGGAGGAGACCTGGCTGCTGCAAGGGCATGGGAGCAGGGACAAGAGTCAGCTCGGCCGGTCCGGAGGAGCCTTCCCTTGCCCAACCAATCCCTCCCCTTCGAACGCAAAGCGCCGTGCGTTATAACCCACGTGTAAGGTGCCCTGCTTAATAAAGCTTTTTGAAATGCTATTTTTGCACATTTAATTAAACCGTTTCCACCCAAGCGTGGCCGGAGACACGGTGAGAATGCGATCTCACGGGTACGCAGCATCGCTCCTCACACGATGGCGGCGTACGGAGACGCGAACGCCGGCCCCCGTCCACACGCAGGAATCGCGCTTTAATTTAATGTCAATCCATCCATCTCATCCCGAGAACACCAAAAGCCGGCACGGGGAGGGCTCGCCTGGCTCCACCGACCGGGGGGCAGCAGCCGAGCGCCCCTTCAGTTCGGATATTTGCACCCAGAAAGCAAAAAGCTGCTCAACAGACACAAAAATAACGCTCCGACCCCCCCAGACCCGACACAAACCGGGGGACACGGAGCCGTGGATCCACCCGTGCGCCCTGTGGAATCGGCATCATCGGAAACCTCCCCCGAGTCCAGGCACCGCACAGCTGGTCTGCGTAACGCGCCCGTCCGCCACTTTCCCTTTTCCTCCAGTTTTTCTTGGCTCGGCGCAGAGGAAGCGCGCTGGAAGGTTACACCGGCTCCGGTAAACAGCCTTCTACGCCCCGCGAGAGGCTCGGCGTGCCGCGGAGCTGGCGGCGACAGCACGGGGACAGGCTGGGATCCATCCCCGGCACACGGGGCAGGGAGCGCGCTCCCGGCTCCCAGGAAGGGCCGGGGAATGGGAAAATCCTGACGACAGCAGGG